CTTCAATTCCAGAATCCATGGCACAGGATTCTAGCTGCTCCAGGCAATTTCTTATTTCTGGAAAAAAAAAAAGAGCTCTTTTCATCCAGAAAAATGTGTTATTACTTCCATTTTTTATGGGGGACTGAATTTAGGATCATCTGTAGGAACCTATATTTACACTTGAGTGATTAAACATCATGGAAGTCAAATTACCTTGTTAAACCCACATTTTCTGCTGAAGCTATGAACACATGAGGAATCATTGCTCTTAGAGAAACTGAGAAGGTAAGTTAAGTTGGAAAGTTTTGTGTTTATGGGAATTCTATCCTGAACCAGCTCCAGAGGAGGATGGAAAGTGTCACTTTCTCCCCTGCATGCCTGAAATGAACAATTCAATGCAGAAATCTTGATTTCAGATCCCACATTTCAAGCTCTAATGAGAAAAATGATGAAACTGCAGTGTACAATCTCTTCTCTCCATTATTAAGCCAATGAGCTTATTAAAAAGATTGGAGTATGGTGTCCATACTCCAATCATCTAGTACTTTTATGATGTACTCACCTTTCTGTGGCTTAGATGCAAGAGGGGGGAAAAAAGGTGAGGAAAATCCTATTTGTTCAGTAACAATTGTTGCACTTACAAATTTTAGAAACTGAAAATACCTATTGATTTCAGGTATTATTAAAAATGCTTATAAACAAGGCTTATAGCAAATTTAAGACAGGAAACAATGTAGAAAGAAGGAAAAAAATCTTTTTTCCCCTTCTAAATTTATTCCATGAAGTACATGATGATACAATAGATCTAAGTATTGGGGATTTGCATAAATACACGCATTAGTACTGCCCTGGCCCAAAGACTGCAATGTATAAATGGGACAACTTGTTCAGTTCACTAATAATGGCAAACAAAGGCTATTTTTCAGAATGGTGGAGCTTCCAGGTAAAGTGTCGTTGTTCTGCTTCTTTTAATAGTAGATTAAGGTGTGTCCTATTTTTTCTATAGTTTACTGATAGTTCCACTTCTACATGACGAGTGAAAGTTTTAACTTTGTTTATAAGTGACTTCACTAGGTACTAGAGGAACAGGTGAAGTAATCTGTAAGAATTAAGACTCTATGTTCATGTAAACAAATCAAAATGGCAGCTCTCATGAACCCCAATGAATGAGAAGAATTATCAATGCCATGTCATTTTTAGACCTAACAAAATTTTATGCTGAATAGATATAAACCATGCCACAAAACTAAACAGGAGTACTTTGGTCAAGCAAGAATCTGTTCCAAGAGCACTAGTGTATGCAAACACTTAAAAAAAAGTTATTAAAAATAAATAAGCAGATTTGGATCAATATCACTACTCAGGTCTGTGGAATATTCTGCACTCTTTATACAATGATATCTTTTTTCAAACTTACCTAACTAGACAACAAAACTGAATAAACAATCATTGTGGTTTTTCTTTCTTAAAAAGTATACTGGTTACAAATTTGCTGTGATAGCAGAACCAAAACTTCACTTAAAGTATCTTCCAGTAGCTACACACACACACATACACACACACAAACAAAACACCACAGTTGTGAAGGTGTGTTTTCACAATATCTCAGATAACTCTACCACTGCTATTAATCACAGCCATTTTTTTTTTTTACAGTAATTTAAAACTGGACCCCCATCAATAGGGCAAAAAAAGTAAATGCTTCCAACTGTGGCCTACTTTGCACTGCTGACTTAGCACCCACTGGAATAACAGTTTTGTGTTTAACAGTTTCACTTATGCTTCCTCCATTCAGCAGGTTAAAAGAATGTGCTTTTCTGTAACAGACTGGAGGCACTAAAGGTGCTGAAACTACTGATGAGTCTAACCTGTGTTCCTTGGGCACCCACCATTCCCTGCCTGACTTCTCTGTCCCTTTCCCTTCTCTGTATGCTTTAACATTTCCATAGCCTATACAGTTGAAGTAAGTGCTGACTGCACAGAAACTGCAGCAATGAGGACTTGCAAACAGAGAATAAGATGACTGGATGATCAAGCTTATCCTCAGCAAATGGCCTGCTTAGGAGGACTGATAATCCTGCTGTGAAAGCACAAGTAAAACCGAAATCCAATTGCAAACTGAATACCCATGAACCACTGCATGTGGCTTCATATGGACAGTGTGTAACTAAAACTCTGACTGGAAGGAAATGTTTTAAGAAAAAACACGATTGAAAAATTATGCTATAAATCTAGTGACTCATCAGGCAAACCTCAGGGATTGCCCAAAGCATAGCTGCGTGGGGGTGGGGGGGAAGCTAGTGGTTCAACATGCATGAGGTCCCCAGCTATTGCCACAGAATATTTTTGAACTGTCAGCCTAGTTGTGAGATGTCTAAAATCACACTCGTTCATACTCCAACAGAAGTTGTTTTACCATTTTAGTGGCAACTGGCTAGTGCTTTCAAAACAAATGCATCTGGCATCTGATGTTTCAGAAGATCAGCTCCTAATCAACATGAAGCCTTAACCTCCAAGCTAATGCCTGTATCACTGTTTGCCAAAGTGCTCAGCTGGAGGCCTGTGATCAGGAGATAAACCATTCTATCCCTGAGCAATAAGTAGTGTCGGAATTATGCAAAGGCCACGTGAGCTCTCATATATTGTAGGAAATGAAGTCAGGGAAAATATTTTCAGCTTGATTTCAATCCCATGTGTAGAAACTTTGAAATTGTTACACTCTAAATCATGCACACACACTAGCATTTGTTTTACTACTATTAGCTCATAATATTCTTAAGAGAAGCCAGCACAGTGACTACTGTAAAGATGACCCAGTTATTAATAGAAATACACAAAATCAGAGTTTTGATGACATGGTACCCTGCAAAATGACATTGTGTCTGCAAGAATAAAAGAAAGACCTTAACAACCTAGGAGATTTCTCTAACCTTGTGCTCAGACGCTAGTTCCTTTAATACAGTCACAGAACTGCACGCAGATCCCTCTTTTGAAAGGAAGTAGG